GCTCCCTCATCATCCCACCAGATGCTCATTCGTGACACGCCTCAACAGCCCCAGACCCAGACCCAGACCCAGAATCAGAATCAGTTGTTTGAGGCGCAGCAATTGGCGGCGGCGGTGGCTGCTAGAGAACAGCAGGAGATGTTTAGGGCTTATGAGCAGAAACAAAACCAAACACAAACCCAACATCATTCGCAACGCCAACAGGAGCTGATGAGGTTCGATGGGTTCGACCCGGCTGGGAACCAAATCAATTCCTCTGGGTCTAATTTAACATTGGGGACGTTTGTTGATAATAGCTACCAAATTGAAGCGCAACCGCTTCAGGTGCAGCTGTTTCTTCAGCCCCAACAGACATTGGTTGAGCAACACCCACAAACACAACACAAGCCTGAACCCACCGCGGAGGATGGTAGGAACATGAACATGGGCCCATCGTGCTAATTTTTTTGTTTTGTTTTGTTTTGTTTTGTTTTTGAATCTCAAGTTAATTTTATTTTTCTCTCTCTCTAGGTATTGATTTTATGAGCATTTGATTAATGAGATATGGTTGTTTGATTGGTGACAATGATGATGATTAAGACAATTCTTTGATTTTAATTTTAAAAATGGGATCCAATTTGATGTGTAATTCATAATATTAACTATAATTGGAATGCATTTTCTAATTTGTAAGAGAGATTTCCGTTTGTATTACTAAATTAAACCCTTTATTCCCCCTTCTTTCTCTCTAAAACAACCTTAAATTTTGTGTTTTTTTGATATATGTAATGTAATGTGATTGTACCATATTGCCCTCCATTCAATGTAAATTTAATTCACTCAATAAACTACCCACCAACTAACTTTTTACGTGTAATGTTTTTCCTTGGTAATTTATGTTATATGTTTGGTATGATGAAGAGCTAGCATTATATTGGGATGAGAATGAGAATGAGAATGAAAATGAAAGCATTAACTATAAAAGGGGATTAGAGGGTTTCATTTGGCATCAAGAATATGAGTTAAGGATCACCCGAACTCAATTTATAAGCGATTCGTTTTTTAGTTTTAGGATCTCGATTTTCTTCAAAAGTTAGGAGCTACACTCCACAGATTGAGTCCAAATCACTTCACTTTCTACATGTTGGGCTCAAGGGGTGAACGTGACTCAATTCAAGTTTTTGATATTCATATTTGGGAAGGAGGGGGGAATTCAATTAGGGGATTCCATGCAAATTTGGCCCACAAGATACATCCCATTCGGTTTCTAGGAGTTCAACGAGCAAATTTGTAGAAGATCTTTTTAGTTTAGTGGTGATAAAATAGAACTTTTTCATTGAGGAATCGAGAGCCAAGGAGGTCTAGAACCCTCTATCCAATAAGAAGGACGTGAAGGTTGACCAGAAATTAGTGACCCTTGATTCCTAAATTGAAACATCACACAGAATCGTCACTTCAAAGCTATCTTGTGAGCTTAAGGGGAAGGAAATGCGGGTTTTTGTTAAAAGGACTCGAAGGCTACTAAGAATCACTTAGAATTAGACTAGAACCTTAAGATAAGTATTAAAAAAAAAAAAAAAGTAAAAATTGAAGAATTAGGACAAGAACTAGGAGTTAGAGATATATACGATACGTTTTGCTTGAAAAATATAATCGTTAAAATTAACCCGTTAAATAACCTCCCGTGTACATGAAATTTTAATGGATGACCTAATTTTAATGGGTAAAATGACTGACCCATACTATGTCCAAATATTGATTCATTGTCTAAATCAACTTCCAAGTGACTTGAAAATTTACATGGTAGGCCTATTTATAAAGATATAAATGACCACGCAGGGTTTCAAAGCATTTGAAACTTGTTTAGAGCATAAACCATGATTCAGATGGAAAATAACGAAAATGCCCCCATGAACCTTTTATGACCATTCATTGTTTTTATGAGCTCTATATGAAATAATACTATTATGTTTGACACTTATTCATGATATTGAGAAAGACTTATTTATGAAATTATGATAGGTTTACATGTTATGACCTATATGCTTTCATTAGGGTTTATGAATCTCATTTTACAACTTTCGTCTAGGTCGTGCCTTAAGTCTTAAGAAGGACTCTTAAAGCTAGAATCTCATTAGGACACTACAGTTAGTGCACTTTATATGTTGGCCCTAATCAGTACGTTTTTAATAGATCTTGCATCTTAGGATCGTGAGAGATCAGAGGTTTAGACCCATGTGTATCTAGAGTTTGGTTTAGCTCGATGAGCTAACCCTGAATGTCCTAAAATAAGAAATGAGATTGAAACCACCTCGATGCCCCTAAGAACCTAGTAAACCTCCATGATATCTAATCATGATTAAGATAGCTTAACAAAACTCCAAAGTCACTTGGGTTACTATTGAGTGTAGGGTCGGGACAAGACTAGCACCTCGATCCCATTAAACCAGTCTCAGAGAGAGACTAAGGACTACATGGGTAGTTAATTCATGGCAAGAATTCCTATTAAGTGTAGAAACGAATCAACGCTAACGCCGCGACTTTGTAAACCAATCTCGGAGAGAGACTAGGGACTATACGGGTAGTTGTCCAGTTGAGAACCTCTACTGTGTGTAGAAACAGGTCGAGGCTCGTAAACCCACCTTGACAGGGGTCAGGGGACTACATAAGTAGAGAACATGAAGAACCACTACTCTGTGTAGAATAAACTCACCTTGAGAGGGGGTGAGAGACTACATAAGTAGATAGGGTCACTATGGTGTGTAGAAACGAGGGATGACTCGTAAACCCACCTTGATAGAGGACGAGGGACTACACAAGTAGACAACATAAAGAGACACTACTATGTGTAAGTCCACCTTGATAGGGGACAGGAGACTACATGAGTAGATTGCTTACGGAGTATATTTTTATACTCAACCCTTCCCTTTTCCTTTTCGTGTGTAAGATGTCGGTCAAGGTGGTGGAGTGTTCGAGAGCTACACGGTCACAGAGATATTTATATATATATAAATTTATATATGAAATATGAAAAGACAGAAATATGAAGGGGCAGAAAAATGAAAAGGCAGTGGGTAGGTTTGCCACCTACCCAAAATCTTCTCTTTAAATCTTGTCGGTAAAAGGCCAATAAATCGAGGGAGGGGGGTTGAACCAAGCTGTTTTTGAAATAAGAAGGAAAAAGAAAAGGGAACATGGGTAAGAGTCGAAGAAGCTGAAGAAGGAAAGGAAAGTCGCTGGAAAGAAGGAGCTGATCGTTGGATTTAACGAACCGTTGGACCCGACCCGACCCAATTAGCAGATTCTGATCCACTACCCAAAACCAGACTCGAAGGTATGCATGACCCTCGTTCAGAGGCCAATGCTCGTAAATTTGGACTATTTTTAACTCGAATCCTATTCAACTTCTATAGTTTTGATATATTTTCTCAATGTAGGACCCAATTGTAGATCTTTGAACGAATTGGAAATTTGTTGAAGACCCGAAACAAGCTCGAAAAGTCTACAACAAGTAAGTAACCGCATGGAGCAAGTTCTAAGAAATGCTTGTAGGAGTCGATTTGGAGTATAGGCAAATGATCTAGTATTATACTTAGGAGTTTGGTTAACATTAGTTTCATTTATGGTACTTCGATATCGTGAGTGTTTATACCTTGATTATAGTTAGGGTTATATAGCTTCCGCATGCATTATTGTGAATTTCTCTGATAGGCGTTTGGGTTTATGTGTTTCCTAGGAAGTCGAGATAGATTGTTATTTCTTGATTTGCATGATAAATACGATGTGAGCCTTGATACTTTGTTCTGTTTTGTTTTGGGGTGTGGATAGCCCATTATTGCCCATGTGTGAATTGGACTATTTTACTATGTGCTAGATAGTGTGAATTATGAATTTCGTAGATTATGGGTTACCGTCTTTTAGTTGTCACCTATTGTAGATATGGGTGGCCTTAGTAAGTATCATACTGTAGTACCACGTCAGGGGTGCCTAGTGGGGAGACCCATGACCTTTTACTGATCTAAACCCGACCGGGATGTAAAAAAGGTAGTTTACTGACCCAGCCTGGCGGGGCATAGTGACGGGTAGTTACTGATTCTCAGGAACAAGTAGTTAAGGCCAGACACCATCAGGGAAAAATCCACTGATTTAAGTTCAGTAGATAGTTAGGTATGGAAGAAAATCCATATCAATGAAAATCCATGGGGTCTTCTTTTGAGACCATAGTAGTCTTTGCTAGAGATAGATTCGAGCATATAGCCAAAGTTTCCGTGAATAGGATTAAGTTCGATAAGAGCCTACAAATAGGTTGCTTACTAAGTATTTTTATACTCATCCCACGTTGTTGCTATTTTTCAGGTGCTAAGTAGACCAATGTCGGTGGCGGGAATGTGTGGAGCCGTGCGGTTACCGTGGAGACCCTTAGATCGAGTCCTCTTTGTCCATGTCGTTTTAATGTCATTTTGATGTTTATTTTGGGAAAACTTATGCTATTTTGTAACTGTTTTTCTTTTGTTGTGTTTCCGCGAATCCCGTTATGTTTTGGAACTATTTAGATTTCTAATGCTTTTCAGTAACATTAATTTTATTGTGTCTCCCATTTTTTTATCCTAGAATCCACGTAGCGATTCGTGATTCGATGCGTCGGAGAACGGTCGTTACATGTTCATTCCAAAGCATCAATCCATTTTTATATTCGAATCTCTCCTATTTCATTTTATAATTGTATCTCAAACTCTTTTTCTCCTTTGTAATAAATTTGAACACCACCGCTAGTAATTAGATTTTAATTTTAGTGTTTTGTTTGTTTTTATTTCATTTAAATTTTTATCAAATCTTCCTCGTATTTTAGCCTCGAATCCGAGTTTTGAAACCTCATGTCATGACAACGCTAAAACTAGAAAAGAGGCGGACGTGGCCTTTGTGAATAACATCTAGCTACCACATATCCTTAAATTGGTGAGAGTTTGGACAACTCCAATACCCTTAAATTGTGAATCATACTTAAATGAATATTCCAAGTATAGAAGAAAAAGCAATGACTGAATAATTACAAAACAAATGTTGACAAACATGTGGAAATTTTTCATATTTGCACGAACTAATGCTCACATTTTCTTCTATAATTAACTAAAGCTGCTGCTTGAAAGCTAAGAGAAAGTATAGAAGATTAGACATGGTTAGTCCATTCGATTCTGAAGAGAGGATTCTGTAACACAGCACCCACCAACGTTCAGGAACATATACCAGGTCAGTAAAGCCCATTTTCCATTGCCTTGTTGGTGAATCCCAGAGAATTACACAGAAAGAAGAGGCGACTAAAGCTTTATCTCAACCAAAATTCCAGATTCTCTTGCATCAACGAAGACGACGTGGGAGAAACTCACTATTTCGTCTTTTTTACAAAATGAGTGGCCAACAGTTTCGACACAGTGAAGCCGTTAAACGAATCGACATCAAACAGTTCTTTAAGCTTCTCATCACAGATTATTCTCCTTTTGTCAGAAGGATCCTGAATGAACAATAAGAAAAAGATTCAGATGTTAAGTGATGCATCATCAAAACAACAAAATTTCCATGTTCACTAACAACAATTGTTTTGCCGCGTTCATTTAAGCACTCAAAGCTTTGTGGAACATGATCAATTAGTAAAAATGTTCAATTTAACTGTACTTTTTGGGTATGGAATGGAATATCAGTAAAATTAAGACAAATAGGCAGACAACTTTTTGAAATTTTCAAGTTTCAATCAACAACATGGCGTCAACAAAGTATATAGTCAGATATTCAAGATCCAAAAGTTCAAACTTTTGAATTAGAGTACATTTAATTATTTAACATATAACAAGGCAACATAACGACATCACAAAGCACAAAGCACAAAGTTAGCCAGCCAGCCAGTGAAGCCTCCCCACATCACCTGATGCAATGAAATACCTAAAAGGCTATATATCTAGAGACTGCCCTACTCAAAGACCATAAATATCAAATTCAAATAAGGAAAGATTCCTCAGCCAAGTATTGCCTATGACGTTATGATGACTACTAATACAAGTCCATGCAAAAGTACGAGAGAGAAAGTAGGGAGCAGAAGAGAGAAAGGGACAAATCTTATGAGCTCCAAGCCTACAATTGGTCTACTCTCTCTAGCCTGTTGTGATCACGATTTTTATTCATTCGAATTGGAACAACTTCTTGAAAGTTCCCTTAAGGAGGAGTGTTCCTCTTGTAACTTTTCATTCAACTATTAGAACTCTCCAAGTTCCAGTAATATGGAATTTTCATTCATAAAATGAAAAGGAACAAGAATAATTGAAATAATAATAATAATCTTTATAACTGGAAGTCCAAAAACTAGAACATTATTCCACTATAATAAGTTGCGTTTCTATAAGCTCAAGCCATACTCAAAAGAAACAAGCAAAAAAGGGAGAAAAAACTGTCCGAAGATCGAGAGCTCAGGCATGTAAAACGATTTCACCAGAGAGAATCCGCATATTCTAAAAAGTTTTTAAAAATAGATACAATTATATATAACAAATACATAGGAAACGGAAAATATAACTACATAGCTTGAAAACTATTTCTAGGTAAGAACAATAAATTTTTGTGACAAATCACATTGGTTTGGAGCGATAATGCATCATAAAAGAATGTGCAAGTCAAATGCAATAAGAAGCAACCAAGTTGATCACCGAAGTGAAAGCACCAGCCATGGATGATAGATGTATAGAGGCATATGATTTGAAGGCCTACAGAAATATTAAAATCAAGCATGTCCAAACTCTTGTCTTCAAAGACTCGCATTTTTGTTTCTAATTTCTCAAATAAGATACTAGCCGGTTATCCCTCAATTGATAAGAGCATTTAGTGTTGCTATACTATCAAAGAATCTTTGCGAAGGCCAATACCTGAAGATTGTTTTGCTTCATGTAATCCCACATTCTTTTCACTACTTCAGAGCGAGACAATGCATTCTCTCCTGTACCAAGAAATGTCACCAGAGCATCTGAAAGTTGAAGAGGAGCAAGGAAACCAGATTTTCCTTTCTTTTGCCGCTTCACCTCTCTCTCAGAGTCATCAGAATCTAGAAAAAAGAACGTTTATTAGATATTAGTAGAACCTTCATTTAGCTGTAAACTGGAAAAAGAATAATGTAAAGTTTACATCTTTTATATTTCATTCGGAAACAATTATGTTGGATAATTTACTAAAGGAGAATGTCCTTTCCCAATTGATGATGAGGTCAAGATCTAATCATGTCATCTACATGAATTTGGATGCCAAAACTTCTTTTTCTAATCATGTCATCTAAATGTTGTTTACCAAGCTATATCTTGGTGTAAGCTGTCTAATATTTTTACTTCCTATAGTTATACCTCCCTCGATGCAAATTGGGAAGGTCTTTTGTAAACATCATGGATTATACATCCCTCTTGTAAATTTCACTCATCAATGAAATTGTCTCTTATCAAAAAAAAAAAAAATTGCAAAAAAAGCATCTCATTAGTACTTATTCATATAGCAGGTGCAAACAAAACTTCCTTTTTTTGTTGTTGATAACTAAGGGTAACTGGATTACAATGTTTTGGTTAATATAGTGTAATTGCTCAATTTCTTTGTCCCTTTCCATTACTTGGAGGAGAGTAAAGTAGATGGATCACCATTTGTTGGGATCAAGATACCTTGCCTTAAAATTTGGTTTTCAGACTAAACCCACAGGATGAGGAAATGCCCTATTCCAGGTGGCTGGATCTTTGTGCAGAAGTCAGAACCTGCAGATTGTCCACAAGGAAAGAGAAAATGCTTGGCAGTTTGAAAAAAGGTTGGAAAATTTTCCAGGAAGTCCCTTCTCTACCCTGCTAGATCCTATTCAGCAAATTCTAGAAACATGACTATATGCATTTCGGAAAAGGAAAATTAACTAGGCTAAAATATCAAAATATCAAAGTCCTACTATGACCTTTTTTTAAGAAAGGTTTAAGCACAAATGAAGCATACAAGCATTCATTCTTTCTCTATCCCGAAAATGGTATAAATTTGTAAAAAGAATGGAATATTAACCATATGTTTTGACATAGTTCTCTTGATCCTTCAAGTATACTCTCAATTAAATCTTTGTCACATCATTTGATATCCTCAAGTCCGTTGGAGGAGCTTTATAAGGCCTTCTGGAAGTCCAAATTGGGAAGTTATTAAGGAGGATCTCGAGCAAATGTTTAGGGAGTTTTAAGAAAAAGGTATCCTGGACAGTTCTTCGATTGAAAATTTTGTGTGCCTCATTCCCAAGAAAGATCAAGCAAATAAGGTCAAGACTTTAGGCCCATCAACCGAGTGACTAGTGCATATAAGATAATAGCGAAGGTGTTAGCCAATCGATTGAAAAGAGTTCTCCATTTGACAATATTAGTGACTTAGAGCGCTTTTATTGCAAGAAGACAACGTCATTATCAAGCTCTAATAGCTAAGGAAGCTATTGAAGATTATAAAGGTCGAAAAGAGGGAGGAGTCTATTTTAAAATGATTTTGTAAAGGCCCATGACCATGTAGATTGGAACTTTCTAGACTAGGTCTTGGGCAAGAAAGGATTTGAGAATAAGTGGAGATCTTGGATCTGAAGTTGTACTAGATCGGTTAAGCATTCCATCCTCATGAATGATAGGCCTAAGGGGTGAATTCAGGCCTCAAGAAGTCTCAGGCACGGAAACCCCCTTTCTCCCTTCCTCTTTTTGTTGGTGGTGAATATTCTCCTCAGGCTTGTTTCTAGAACTATCGGGCACAACGAGTATCTAAACCTACTGCCAAGCATATATCCAAAAACACTAAAAACAAAAAATAAAATTTTTATTTTCATCGAATCTCTTATTTTCAAATTTTTATTCTCGGATAACCAACCAAAGGCACCCTTAAAATGTCCTTAAAAAAGGTAAATACTTCGATTTGGCTAGTGTACTTGGAAGGGCCAAATTTAGCTTAAGGATTGCAAGGTGCCCCTATCTGGAAACTTATCCAAGATGGTGATGCTTAGGCAAGAAATCAGAAGAAGCTCTAAATCAGTTTTCTTTTTTTTCTTTTTTTTTTTCTTTTTTTTTATCTTACAGCAGTAACATCTGGGATATAGCATTTGGCCTTGGTTTTTCATGGATATTATGGATTAATGAGCAACATTTTGGGATATATGATTCCAAAGAAAACAATGGATCTTCAAAGATAAAGGAAGAGAGATCCTAATTGATTAAACTTTATGCGGCTTCTTGGTATTATCTGAATAATTCAGATTTTATCCTACTAACATCACTAAATTTTAATGAGGTGCATTTGAATAATGATTTTAGAATCTTATTTTTGGGTACTTAGTTACAGTTATTCCTACTGGAGGTCTCTTGCCATGAACAGTAATAAAATTTCAAATAAAAATAACTAATTTGTTTATCTACCTTCTTCTTTTCCTTGCTTCCGCCGCTTCTTCTTTTGTGGCTTCTCCTTTTGCTGCTTTTCCTTCTGACTCGATTTGGCTGGAGTAACTGTATCCAGGTAAAAGAAATGTTATTAAAAAAAATATATCAATAAGGTTTGTAGCTCAGTTTCATCAGAATAAAGTTCAGGGTTTTGCAGTGGCAAGTATTACCCTAAAGTAAGATGCATGCAGACAAAAACTTTATTTCATATAAAATAAGCGTCCTAGTACCCATTGGGATTAATATATATATAAGAAAATCCAAGAATCAAAATTGAAATAGCACTTAAGGTTCCATAGAAGCCAGATTGACATCAAGAATTAGTTTAACGAAATGGCTTTAGTTAACAATTAAAAGCAACGGTAAGTTCAAACATCTGAGGGAACAGTAGCATAATATTAGCAACAAAAGTGAAGCTATAAAAACACACCGTCATTTGATTCCAACGGCCAAATATGCTTTGATAGAGCTTTATTCATTTGAAACATGTCGATGGAATTAACACCAAAGAGTGCTTTAAATGGTTCATCACAGAGAATATTTCTCCTATTACTGGGGTCTTGCAAATTCTTCTCTCTAATGTGGTTCCATAGTTGCTTCACAACCTGAAACAATGATAGCAATCACTGTATTAGAAGGAAATGACATGATCGTCAATGGTATATTGAGAAGATTGAGAAAAAAAGGTGAAAAATTACTCTCAAGATGTACCTCAGTCCTTGCCATTTCAGGAACTCCTATAAATTCCTGTAGTTGTGGGGAGAGGCTACATAGCTTGCTAAAACCACCCCCTCTTTTCTTCACCTCTTTACCAAGCTCGTTAGAACTGCATTACAAAGAGCAATAATTTAATCATCAAAGATGGTCACAAATAGAAATTTCGATGGCCTACTTATTCTCTTACAAAACATATAAACATTTCATTTATATATGAAAAGTTCCCACTTAAAACTCCCTTTAGAATGGGACTAGAAAGCCGAATACTAAGAAAACAGAAGCTAAAGCTAATAACACCATCTAATCAGAGAATTACAACAACAAACAAGAATTAATATCAAGAATTGAATAATACTTGCACATGTCAATGAAAAGGGCACCTATGAAGCTCTGCGGTACTTAAATATTTCAAGTTTTTTCTCCCAAAAAACTCATTTGTTCTTAAATAATGGCTGATTCTTTTGTTGTTAAACTGAGAATGCTGAATTCGTCGAGTAGAAGAAAAAAACCAAATTCTAACATTAAAGTAAAGAATCGACAGAGAACGAAAAGAAAGTACAATTTACAATGGTTCGATAATGGTTATGAATTATAAATGCGAATATGCAAGAAGGCGTAATCACAATTGCGGGTATAAGCTCCGGTGTTGAATTCCACAATCTTGCCACTAGTTTCAGTATGAAAAGGAATCAATTCATGGTGTTTACACATTACTCCCAAGAGAGAAACCGTACATTAGAGTTATTTACCAAACAAAATCCAACACTGAACTGAAAGCCGTTGTACTTACAATCGCAAAATTCCATCAATCACACTCACCCCGTTTTACTCTTTCTGTCGTCGTCGTTGTAGTTATCTCCGTCTCCACTATCTCCATCCTCCTCTTCCATCTTCGAATTATCATCTCCATCCTCCTGGTCGACTTCGCAGTCGCCGCCATCTTCTTCATCGACTCTCTGGTGCTCAGTGTGGAGGAACAAGTCGACCTGTTCCCTAATAAACTGCTTCTTATCGGACAAATCAATGGAAAAATCCTCCTCGAGCTTCCGGCGGACGATAGCAGTGGTAGTGGTATTGAGGTCGGAATTCCGAAGCAACTCCCGGAGCCGGCTGATGAGCTCCGAGTCGGAAACCATTGTTGGAAGCCACAATCTGAATGGAATAAGAGGAAAAGGCAGAGATTGAAAGAGAAAAAAATGGAGTAGGAGGAAGAGGTGGTGGTGGTGGTGGCGGAGATGAGCGCAGAGCCTCCGCTGGGTGTGGCTTTTGGTTACAATGCAAGAGGAAAAAGACTTGGGGCGAAGAAACAGATGGAGATTGGGGGAGGAAGAAGGAAAAAGGCATGGAAATTAATTAATTAATGGTTTATAGGCTATTAATTTATAGATGTTAGGGGTGTGCATGGTACCCAAAAGTTTAAATTTGAAAAAATAATAATAATAATAATAATAAATAAATAAAATAAATTTAAAATAACCATTTAGTATAAAATCTAAAAAGTTCGTGAATAAACCTGACCTAACCCATCAATCTATAAAATTTACCGCATATGTTAAGGGGTGTACATGGTCAATAAATAAATAAAACATATTCAAAATACAAAGTGAAAAAACCTAAAAATAATATAAAATCTAAAAAGATAAATAAAACAAATTCAAAATATAAAGTGAATAAACCTAAAAATGGGATAAAATCCAAAAAGTTCAAAATAAGAGTGAATAAATCTGACCCAACCATCGATCTATAAAATTTACCGAGGGTGTAATGGTAGGAGTTCAAAATAAGTGAATAAACCTGACCCAACCCATCAATCTATAAAATTTACAGCATATGTTAGGGGTGTACATGGTCTGGGTTGGGGTCAGGAGGATTTTTTTTTACCCAAGTGAATAAACCTTAAAAATAGTATAAAATCCCGAAAATTCAAAATAAGTGAATAAACCTATCCAATCCTCAAAGTTTAAAATAAGTGAATAAACTTACCCACCCTATCCATCTATAATTATCTACCAAAAAAAAACACCCAAGTCTTCCTGGAAAGGCCTCAGTACCACTCTGGCAAACTCATTAGTACAAAAAAAATTCTTAATATATTTTATATATTTTTGTTTGGCTCGGGTCAACTTGAAGGTTTTACCCATGAACCCAAAACCAAACCGATTCAGTTTGGGTTCAGAGAAGATGGACCCAACTCTACTCGAAATGCTAATCCAACTCAACCCAATCCGATTGGATTGGTCCGAGTTGTCGGGTTAAATGTACACCCCTAGCATATGTAAAGGATATTTTTTAATTAATTCCTTAATCCGTTTATAATTTTCATGTTTTATTGATTTGAGTTTTAAGTAATTAAAGTTTAAGGATGTAACTATCCTAAATTTTCTACTTTAACTTAAGATTGCTATTGTATACCAATGCGGAAATAATTTAATTGAAACTTTATAATAAAATTAACCTTGGTTTTGCACGCTTCATTTAAGGCCCTTAAACGAACTATTACAATTTGAAACAAAAAGGGAAAACAACGTAGAATGAAATACCCTGTACTAACCTGTATACTACTAAATGGAAATGCAGTTAACCTATACTAACTTATAGTATACTAAATTTAAATATGAAACTATCTTAAGCATGTGCCATAGTCTCATAGTTAGTCGTACCAGGGCACATTTCTTTTTCCTGAAAAGTAAAGTAGCATATGACTTGAGTATTTTAAGGTATACTCAGTAAGCAACCCCCTATTGAGGTTAAATGCAAACACCCACAATTTCATGAATGGGACCTATCATAACAGTTTGTTTTTCTACAACAGCTGTCCTAACGAGCAACTTGGATGTGTACTTAATTTTCCTACACACGATCCACACGTGCAAGTATGGACCCACCAATCAGTTTGCACCATGGGCCCCTTTTTGATCGGGCGAGCATTCTTTGGTAGTTGTTGATGTCAGTCACCCGTTAGGAGTAGCGACCGTCACGACAACATTATGGTAAATATAATGATTGTTTCCCTACCTCATAGTGTACGCATTCATACTATCGTGAAGGAATAGGGGTATCCCTCGATGCACGAGCACAAAAAAATACATGAGGTCCTAACATTTTTCCATTTTAATTATCATTAATACAACCCCGCTAGCGTTCATACATATCATATCATTTCTCGTAGCATTTCTCATATCATTTATCATAATTTTCATGCATATGTCAGAGTTATATTTCATGTTAGTTCGTCGTTTTACATGTCAATCATAACATTTCATTCATGTCACATATCAACCATATCATAATTCTTTCGTGCTCTCAGACATAACAATCCATATTGTGCACATATCGTATCACACATCATAACAATCACATAACAATCTTGAGCATGTCCTCAACATATCATATCATAACATAACGTATTGTAAAACATATCAATTCATCAAATATAGCATAACAATCACATCGCATAACATTTGCATATCATTTCATAATAGTTTGCATATACGGCCTATGACACTTGCGAAACCACATACATGTGTCATCATACAACACACAATTATAACCAACAACGGTAGGGCCACTTACTTAGTTGAGCTTAGCTGGCGTTCTCCCTAATTTGAGCACGTTAGCTCCCGTTCCTTGAAAGTGTTCCAAACTATCACCGGTTGTCGTTTCCTATTAGGTCGTTCATCGCCTTCCATTAGTATTTAACAATTCTAATATAAATTCAACTTAAATTTGTGAAATATGGCATTATAATGACCTCAATTACCTTATTTAGGGTCAAAATCAGGTTTGGGAGGGTTAGGACAGTGTAAATTAGGTCTAAATTTGTTTACCAATCTGAATAGCCGAGATTTTGAGCTGCAGAGCTGAGTGAGCCAAGCCGATTCCAGTCGCTGAATCTGAATAGTCGAGATGTCGTGCAACAGGAGGTCGATGCGTGTGCAAGTAGTTTCAGGTCAAGGCGTGGGTCGCGTACGAGTGTATGGATCGTGGGTCGTGCACGTACACGGGTTGTGGTTGCAGGCTGATATGGGTTCTAGTTCGAAATGGATTGGGCCGCGAACGTTTAAGCCAAAGGGTAAATGGGTTGTGCTCAGGTGTTGCTACAGGTTGGGTTGTGGGTCGTATTTGACCGGATTCGGATCCGTCACATCTCGTCTTCTTTACTAGACTCCTCACAATTTTTCGTAGTTTTCTCTCTCCTTTGTACGTTGTTTTTTATATCGTTTCTCATCCTTTTTCCTTCTCTACCTCTCTGTCAACCTCTCGCCTTCCCTTCTATGAAGTTTTACGACACGTTGATGCCTACAACGATAGATCCGAGAGGTTCTAAAAACTCAAAACTCATATTGAAATTCGACAAAGTACATCGAGGACAGGTCATTTCGACATCTGGTTGTGGGTTTCGATCTTCATTGGAGTGTTTTTGGACCTCTATTTTACTCTCTAATTTTCCAAATCTCTATTTTAAGCAATAAATTTAATTTATTTCACTATAATTCTTTAACCTTAATATATATATATATATATTAATATTGCTCCATACAAACAGATAAGGTCATGAGTCAGCTCAGCGTTGGCTTACATTTACAATGATTGTCTCTATATTAATATTTAAGTCAACTATTAATTAGAAGAATACAAGATTAATTTAGAAGATTATAAAATTAATTAATCAATCTTGTCTACCAAACCATATTATATTTGTAATTACATATTAAAATAATGAGGCTACTAAATATTGTTCTTGCCCGACGTTTTTTAAAGACTCGAGTCCATACTATCACGTACTACATGAGGCTTACGAAAAACTCGACTCGATCCAAATTTTATTCTTTTAAAAACATGATAACATTAGAAACTAAGATAGTGACAGCAAATACATATATTTAGTTTTACTCAAAATAATTTAGGTCTACAAAACAACGCTTAGGATTACAACTTACAAAATACAACAAATATTTTCCGACTCCAACAATAAGGTTACTTATAGGTCCCACAATGATTGTATGCGATTGCATTTCAGGACCCAAGAATGAGGTTACTTATTGATTATTTTAAAATCTCGAACCACGTGTTACTTGTAACGACTTGAAATTTTCTACTTAATTTAAAGTCGCTACTGTATACATATCATGAATATTGAATGCGGAAATACTTCAATTAAACTTTCATAAAACGTCACCTTCATCTTAAACACCGTCATGGACTTACGTATTTTGAAAACATCTTTAAAAATGACATAACAAAAAACTAAAGAAAATAAATAAACGTATAAATTAAAAACATCATATTCTAGACTAAGTCTAAGAAAATAAATATGACTACCCTATGCATGTGTTATGGTCTCGAGTTGCGATGCCGTCATCAGTCGTACAAGAATATCTTACCTTAACCTGAAATAGAAGTAGCACGTGATTTGAGTATTTAAAAAAATATTTAGTGACCCCACTATTGGGAGTTAAATGCAAGAATATGCGAATGCAATGACGGGACCTATCATATTAGTCTATTTTTCTACGGCACTGTCCTAATGGGTAACTTGGATGTGTACCATATACTCTACATACAACACATACGTGCGAGTATGGACTCACTAGTTAGTTCGCACACCGCTGAGCCACTTTCCTTGTCGGGCGAGCATACTCTAGGAGCTCCTTAGACCAGACACCCATTAGAACTAGTAACCGTCACAGCAGCATTAGGTTAAACATAATGATCGTTCTCATGCCTGACTGTTGCAGCATCATGATAAACATAATGATCGTTCTCCTATATGGTCATCGTAGCATTATGATAACCATAATGATCGTTTTCCAACCTCGTAATGTATGCGTCTGTACTATCATGAAGGGTAAATGGTATCCCTCAATGCATGAGCACACAATAATGCATGAAGTCCAATATTTTTACATTTTCATTATCATTTAATACAACCTCATTAGCATTTCGTACATATAATGTTGTTCTTCGTATCATTTCACATTTCGTTTATCATATCATTTATCATATCTTTCATGCATACGTCGAGGTTGTATTTCATGCTAATTCTTTGTTTTGCATGTCAAACATATCATATCATTCAAATTACATAAATATATCATATCATAGAATTCCATGCTTCCAGACATAACAATTTTCATCATATACATATCATATCATAACATATCGCATCACAATATATCATATCATAAACATGTCAATTTCTCACATATCTCGTACCATAACATATCTCATATCATATCACAACATATTAATATATATATGTAACGACCCTAAATTTCCACATACTTAGAGTCGCTACTAACGTCTCATGCTCATCCATAATGCGGAAATATAACTC